ATGATTTTCAAATCTTTTCTATCTAGTAGTCTAAGTTTCTCGATGAGGATAATTAATTCGGTCGTTGTGGTCGGACTCTATTATGGATTTCTAACTACATTCTCCATAGGTCCCTCTTAGATCTTCTTTCTCCAATCTTGGATTAGGGAAGAAGGAGATATTCGCGACTACTGGCGATTTCATTATGGGGCAGCTCATGATCTTCATATCGATCTATTATCCACCTCTGTATCTATTCTTTCTTAGCTAAACAGGTGGAAGATCTATCCAATTTGGTTATATTATATCATGGACTCGAAAAACGGATCTGAATTTGACTGAAATGCACGATCTTCACAGGTATCACTTTTCACGATACCTAAAAGGTGGAATAGCGATTTTCGAACCATTTCCTATAAGAGAATGGTTTCCATTACTTTGAGAAATGGATTCTTATATCAAACTATAGCTATTGCACTAAAGAAGAAAAGAAACTAATAGAAGTCGAAGACGCGGAATGATAGTGAATAGAGAGAAAGATTCTTCTGATTTTCTTGTTTCTATCTACTAGACGCCGTAGAGAATTGAGAATTTTCATGTCTTTCAATTCTCGTACTCGTAATTGGAAAGTTATGGAAGGAGACCCATCATTTTGCAATGAAAACAACATATAAAACTCTGGATAATTTCGAAATCAGGCCAAGCGTCTTAATACATATGCAAAAAAAATCATTATTGGCCCACCATTGATTAGAAGATTTAGCTTGTATGAATTGCTATTGGTTTGATACGAATAATGACAATCGTTTCAGTATGTTAAGGATACAGATGTATCCACAATTCATTTAGAGTTACTTAATAGTCTATTTCTTATACCATATCTCTATCCCGTGAAATTCTCGAGCCAAAAGATGGATGCATATGATGTGTTTCATTTTGCTAAATGATATCAATTAAATGGTGTATCAATTCCATAAATTGCATATAGCAATAAATAAATCAGCAAAATACTTTCTGATATTTTAGATAGAAGAAACATTTCTTCTATCTAAAATATTAGAAAGAATGTACCCTTTTATCCAAATCCAATTTGCATCGATAAAATAAATCCAAATTCCAGTAGTAGATGAATAATTGCAAATTTGTGTGTGTACGAGATTAGAATAACTTCAAAATAACTGACATAATTTTGTATTTTTCCTGATCAGAAAAATACATGAAAAAGAAAGGAGGTAGATTTTTTTTGGATTTATGGTTAAAGAAGAAAAAGAAGAAAACAGGGGTTCTGTTGAATTTCAAGTATTCAGTTTCACCAATAAGATACGGAGACTTGCTTCACATTTGGAATTACACAAAAATATTTTTCATCGGAAAGAGGTCTACGAAGACTTTTGGGAAAATGTCGACGTTTGCTGGCTTATTTGGCAAAGAAAAATAGAGTACGTTATAAGAAATTAACCGGTCAGATGAATATTCGGGAGCAGTAATTTAATCGTTCAAATTTTTTTCTTGTTTTATTATTTTTTTAGTAGTCTTATAGTAGTCTTAGATTTTTCATTTTGATGAGCCTCGCTTTGAGGAATTCATGGAATAATCCATTTTCATGGAATAATGAATTAAGGAAGAAAGGATATGAGTCTACCGCTTACAAGAAAAGATCTCATGATAGTCAATATGGGCCCTCAACACCCATCAATGCATGGTGTTCTTCGACTGATCGTTACTCTCGATGGTGAGGATGTTATTGATTGTGAACCCATATTAGGCTATTTAGACAGAGGAATGGAAAACATCGCGGAAAACCGAACTATTATACAATACTTACCTTATGTAACAAGGTGGGATTATTTAGCTACTATGTTTACAGAAGCAATAACAGTAAATGCACCAGAATTCTTGGAGAATATTCAAATACCACAAAGAGCCAGCTATATTAGGGTAATTATGTTAGAATTAAGCCGGATAGCTTCTCACTTGCTATGGCTTGGACCTTTTATGGCGGATCTCGGCGCACAGACTCCTTTTTTCTATATTTTTAGAGAGAGAGAATTAATATATGATCTATTTGAAGCTGCTACAGGTATGCGAATGATGCACAATTACTTTCGCATCGGAGGAGTAGCCGCCGATCTACCTTATGGATGGATCGATAAATGTTTAGATTTCTGTGATTATTTTTTACGCGGAGTTGTTGAATATCAACAACTTATTACACAGAATCCAATTTTTTTAGATCGAGTTGAAGGAGTAGGTTTTATTAGCGGAGAAGAAGCATTAAATTGGGGCTTATCGGGACCAATGTTACGAGCTTCTGGAATACAATGGGATCTTCGTAAAGTAGATCCTTATGAGTCTTACAACCAATTTGATTGGAAAGTCCAATGGCAAAAAGAAGGGGATTCGTTAGCTCGCTATTTAGTACGAATTGGTGAAATGAGGGAATCCATCAAAATAATTCAACAAGCTGTAGAAAAAAATTCCTAGAGGACCTTATGAAAATTTAGAAGTCTGACGCCTTAAGAAAGAAAATAATTCTGAATGGAATGATTTTGAGTATAAATTTCTTGTTAAAAAACCTTCGCCCAATTTTGAGTTGTCAAGACAAGAGCTTTATGTAAGAGTAGAAGCCCCAAAAGGTGAATTAGGGATTTATCTAGTAGGAGATGATAGCCTTTTCCCCTGGAGATGGAAAATCCGTCCACCGGGGTTTATTAATTTGCAAATTCTTCCTCGGCTAGTTAAAAAAATGAAATTGGCTGATATCATGACGATATTAGGTAGTATAGATATCATTATGGGGGAAGTTGATCGTTGAAATGATAATAGATAGGGTAGAGGTAGAAACTATCAATTCATTTTCGAAATTAGAATTATTAAAAGAAGTCTATGGACTGATATCGATTCTACCCATTTTGACCCTCCTTTTGGGAATAACAATAGAGGTACTCATAATTGTGTGGTTAGAAAGAGAAATATCTACGCCGATACAACAACGTATTGGTCCTGAATATGCTGGCCCCCTGGGCCTGCTTCAAGCTATAGTAGATGGGACTAAGCTACTTTTTAAAGAAGATATTCTGCCATCCCGAGGAGATATTTCTTTATTTAGCATTGGACCCTCTATAGCAGTCATATCAATTTTATTAAGTTTTTTAGTTATCCCTTTGGGATATCATTTTGTTTTAGCCGATCTTAGTATTGGTGTTTTTTTATGGATTGCCATTTCAAGTATAGCTCCTATTGGTCTTCTTATGGCAGGATATAGCTCAAATAATAAATATTCTTTTTCAGGCGGTCTACGAGCTGCTGCTCAATCCATTAGTTATGAAATACCATTAACTTTTTGTGTGCTAGCAATATCTCTATGTGTGATTCCTTAAAATATATCTTTTTCCTATAAAATCCATTAACTATTTATATTCCTTTTCTTATTTAGTATTTGGGTTGGTAAGTTAAACTAGATAGCTATATGAATGAAACAAAACAGCTTATAAATTTGTAGTAAAAAGAAAAAATATCATTTCCTACGTACAAGAAAAAAGTGGAAGTAAACATAAGCAGTGTAAACTCTTTATCCCAAGGTTGATATTTCTTAATTAGTCATCATATCTTGAAGCGGCCAAGAATAAAGGATTCACGATATGGAATTCCATTACTAGAATACTCCTAGTTATTACTATAACTTAATAATCCATAAGAAGAATCCACCAAAAGTTAGTGAAGGGTTAGGAACACTAAAGTACATAAAGGATTAGTAATGGAAAATCTAAAACATTAGAGATTTTTGCCCATAAAAGGAATCATAATAAGGACTTGCAATTTGTAGAAATTATCAAGTAGTACTTTCTTCGGATTCCGATCCAGAGTATGTTCCCATTCACTTGTTAAGGAAATGGCTATCAAGAACGAATTAACCCTTTATCCATTTTTTTCTTTTTAAATACCCCCTCCCTAGGGAAAGAAGAATAGTAAAAAAGATATGGAGTGCACTAGAATTTTTTTTCATTATTTCCTTCCTCTATCCATATTCATGCAGAATTGCTCATGAACTAATACCCAACTCTTTCCATTTATTAATTGAATTCCTATAACAAGTAACAAGTGTTTTATTCCAAGATTAAGTTATTACTGAACAAAGAAAAAATTTCATTATATTATAAAGGATGAGATCAATTCGGAAGCGCTTTTTCTTATTCTAGCAGACGGAATTCCTTTGGTCTAATTTAGGACTTTCAAATCTATTTTATTTTATCTAATTCTATCTATGCCTCCGGGGCTAGGAACAAAACAATCCTTTCCTTTTTCTGATCATAGAGAAGCTGTATGAAGCTAAGGTTTCATGTACGGTTTTGAAATAGCGGTGGGAACTATGATGTTATCACCGACTATGATTATCTAACAGTTCAAGTACAGTTGATATAGTTGAAGCACAGTCAAAATACGGTTTTTTGGATGGAATATTTGGGGTTAGCCTATAGGTTTTCTGGGTTTTTTAATTTCTTCTTTGGCAGAATGTGAAAGATTACCCTTTGATTTACCAGAAGCGGAGGAAGAATTAGTAGTAGGTTACCAAACTGAATATTCCGGTATCAAATATGGTTTATTTTATCTTGTTTCTTACCTAAATTTATAAGTTTCTTCTTTATTTGTAACAGTTCTCTACTTGGGCGGGTGGAATTTATCTATTCCCTATATATCCTTTTTTGATTTTTTCCAAATGAATAAAGCAGTTGGAATTTTGGAAATGACCATGGGTATATTTATTACATTAACTAAAGCTTATTTATTTCTCTTCATTTCTATCACAATAAGATGGACTTTACCGAGGATGAGAATGGATCAGTTATTAAATCTTGGATGGAAATTTCTTTTACCTATTTCCCTGGGCAATCTCTTATTAACAACCTCTTCTCAACTTGTTTCACTATAAATAAGATAATACAATAATAGTAAGAATATTTTCAACACAAAAGCTCTCTCAAACAAGAGAAAGAAACATATCTTTTTCATAGATATTTAGAATGAATATGTTCCCTATGGTAACTGGGTTCATGAGTTATGGTCAACAAACAATACGTGCTACAAGGTACATAGGTCAAAGTTTCATAACTACCTTATCCCACACAAATCGTTTACCTATAACGATTCACTACCCTTATGAAAAATCAATTACACCAGAGCGTTTCCGAGGGCGAATCCACTTTGAATTTGATAAATGTATTGCTTGTGAAGTATGTGTTCGCATATGTCCGATAGATTTACCCGTTGTGGATTGGAGATTTGAAAAGGATATTAAAAGAAAACAATTGCTTAATTATAATATTGATTTCGGAGTTTGTATATTTTGTGGCAATTGTGTTGAGTACTATCCAACAAGCTGTTTATCAATGACTGAAGAATATGAACTTTCTACCTATGATCGTCATGAATTGAATTATAATCAAATTGCTTTAAGTCGGTTAGCAATCTCCACAATGGGAGATTACACAATTCAAACAATTAGGAATTCGTCTCAAAGTAAAATAAACAAAGAAAAATCTTCGAATTCAAGAACGATTACTGATTAGTAAACTTTGATTTTGTCTTTTTGTTATAAAAATCTAATAATTCTTTATTAAACTTTAAAATTAAACTATAAAGAAAAATGAAAAACTACTGCTTATTGGAAATTATTTCTTATTTTAAATCAGAATAGATTTTCGTGATATAATATAATTTATAACTATAAGTTTATACACAAAAAATACCCTAATCCTTTTTTCCTTCCTTGAATCCTTTAGTTTTAGTCAGTTCATGAAAAAATTTATACTATTAATTTATTTTTATCCATAATGGATTTACCTGGACCAATACATGAGATTCTTATGCTATTTGGGGGATTTGTTCTTCTACTAGGGGGTCTAGGAGTAGTATTACTTACCAACCCCATTTATTCTGCCTTTTTGCTGGGATTAGTTCTTGTTTGTATATCCTTATTCTATTTTTTATTAAATTCCTACTTTGTAGCTATTGCACAACTTCTTATTTATGTGGGAGCCATAAATGTCTTGATCATATTCGTTGTAATGTTCGTAAATGGCTCAGAATGGTCTAAAGATAAGAATTATTGGACTATTGGAGATGGGTTCACTTCACTCGTTTGTATAACTATTGTTTTTTCACTAATGACTACTATCCCAGATACATCGTGGTATGGAATTCTTTGGACTACAAGATCAAACCAAATAGTAGAACAGGGTCTCATAAATAATGTTCAACAAATTGGAATTCATTTAGCAACCGATTTTTATCTTCCATTTGAACTCATTTCCATAATTCTTCTAGTTTCTTTAATAGGTGCAATTACTATGGCTCGGCAATAAGAAAACTTAGAAAAAGTACAAATTATAAGAATTGCAAATCTAAAATAAATAACTAAAGAATCACAATTTTGATTTAGTAAAATCCATCTACTGCCAACAAATACCTCCTTTTTTTCTCTTTTGTTGTGTAATTGTTCTATTGTAATTAATTGAATCGGTTCAATTCTTGCCCTCATATTGAAATGAATCGAGATTGATAAGGAGTTAGTTAATGATGTTTGAGCATGTACTTTTTTTGAGTGTCTATTTATTTTCGATTGGTATCTATGGATTGATCACAAGCCGAAACATGGTTAGAGCTCTAATATGTCTTGAACTTATACTTAATTCAATTAATCTAAATCTCGTAACATTTTCTGATCTATTTGATAGTCGCCAATTAAAAGGAGATATTTCCGCAATTTTTGTTATAGCCCTTGCAGCTGCTGAAGCCGCTATTGGACTATCCATTCTTTCTTCCATCCATCGTAATAGGAAATCCACTCGTATCAGTCAATCTAATTTATTGAATAATTAGACTTTTGAATAATTAGACATAGAATCCTCTAAACAAAGGCGCACATATTAAAATAAATAGAAATCAATACTATTTTCTTAGTATTATTTGAGAATTCCATTTTTTAGTAGATTATTGCATAGTATTCTTTTTCACTTAAATGAATTTTTGTATTTGTAATTCATTGATATTGCAATTTGAATATTGCAATAATTTATATTGAAAAGACGATAGCCAATTTATTGGCTAATTCGAATTCGTCTGTACAATTCGTAAAATTCTTTCTTATTTCTTATTTATTGTTGAAATCTAAAATTAAAGTCTCTTGGCTCTCTTCACGCTTTCTCACAAACAGATTAAAAAATAGATTTTTATTTTTGAAGTTTGGATAAACCATTGCTTCGTCTAGTGTCTACAATACATATGACTCATTATAGTACTAATTTCATTTTTACCAGATCTATAAATTTTTCGGCGAAGGGCAGCCGCACTGGTTTATAAACCCAGCCGCGGCTGCCTCGTTGAACTCCTCTATATAGCAGGCTTGTGGGCCTAACTTCTGCGCGCTGCCCTGTGAGTCTGCTGGGCCTTTAGGGCCTGTAATTGCACGCCCGTGGCCTAGCAGGCCCACAGGGCAGCGCCCCAATTTTTTTTATAGTTTTTTTTCTTTTCTGCTTTATTTTTTATAATTCCTCTTATTTCTGAGTAGTTTTTTTATATAGTTTTTTCTTTTCTGCTATAGTTTTTTCCTTTCTGCTATTTTTTCTTTTCTACTTTATTTATTTTCTTCTATTCATTTATTTTTATATACCATGCCAAGTTGATGGTTAAAACTTAATGGTCAAAGTCTGGAGTTATAACCAAAGTTTAAAAAAAATGAAATGCCCCAATTTTTTTATAGTTTTTTTCCTTTCTGCTTTATTTTCTTCTATTTATTTTTGAGTAGTTTTTTTATATAGTTTTTTCTTTTCTGCTATAGTTTTTTTCTTTTTTGCTATTTTTTCTTTTCTGCTTTATTTATTTTCTTCTATTCATTTATTTTGATATACCATGCAAAGTTGATGGTTAAAACTTGATGGTCAAAGTCTGGAGTTATAACCAAAGTTAAAAAAATGAAATGCTCGTTATTAAAAAGTCCGGAGTTGTAATAAGTTATTAAAAATAAAAAAGAGGTGCAATGCTCGTTAATTGGCTTCAAGCCTTTCGGAATAGTGTAAACTGCACTTCACATAGCTCCGTGCAGTCTACCATATTCCTCAAGGCTTGAAGCTAAGCAACATGAGCATTGAGCCTCTTCTTCATCGTCTCTGCACTCAGGGCTTATAAACCGCTCCTAGTCCCTCTCTCTTCGCGAGGTGGGACTAAAAAACAGCTGACTAAGAAACTGTAGTACTGGTTCATGCCATGAACCGGTACTAAAGGTGCTCGTGGGGCCCCAGCCTTACCTGACACAACCTCATTAGTACCAGTTCGTGGCACGAACCGGTGCTAAAGGTTCACCACGAACCGGTACTAAAGAGCTCCTCCCGCCTAGCAGTTGAATGGTGCATACTGAATGCACAAAAAGTCTGGAGTTGTAATAAGTTTAAAAAAATGAAAAGCCTTTATAACAGATGAGTTTAATTTCGTCAGAAACCCGAATACTTCGAAAGAGATTGTCCAATTTGTAAACGAAGTGCATCCAGTTTTTGCCGTAACCCTCTCTACTTTTTTGAACATGATATGTAGGTGAAACGATGATACCATGCCAAGTTTCAACTTTTTCAGAGTTCATTTGTAGTGCTTTTCACTTTCCAGGTCATTTAGTTCTCAAAACAAATCATTAAATGCATGAAATATAGCAAATGAAGGCATAAATAGTTGAAAGTTGATGGCGTCGCTTTGAATGGTGCATACTGAACGCAAAAAATATAAGAGCATTTAGATCATGATCTTATATTTCTTTACAGTCTGAATTGTCAATATGATCTTATACATCAAAAATACTATGATCATCAATGATCTTTTTGTGTACAATCTGAATTGTCAATATGAGTCCACAACGATTTATAAATCGGTGAAGACTCATATTGCGGCCACAAATTCTACACATAGAGTTCAATGAAGACCAAGTGCTTGTGATAGTTTGAGAAGTAACATATTTAAGGTGGTAAAAGCCTTGTTAGGGGAGCGAGGTGGGACTAAAAACAGCTAGCCATAAGCTCATTAGTACCGGTTCGTGATACGAACCAGCACTAAATGGTGATGGTGGGGCCATAGCCTGACCGCAGGCTGACACAACATCTTTAGTACCGGTTCGTGGCATGAACCGGTACTAAAGGTTCGCCACGAACCGGTACTATTGATCGCCGTCGCGAACCGACACTAATGTACACATTAGTGCCGGCTCAAATTCAAATCGGCACTAATGTGCTTCACATTTGACCCTTTTTCTACTAGTGAATACCTCCCTTCTTAGGAACACAATGGACATGACTTACCCACTGACTATCAACAACGTGATAAATTATAGCTGCCTCAAGGAGCTTTAGTATTTCTTTTCTTACCACTTCTTTTATCTTAGTATTCAGCCGTCATTGGTGATCAATAACTGGTTTGGCATCTTTCTCCAAATTTATTTTGTGTTGACATAGAGCGGGACTAATGCCCTTAAGATCATCAAGAGTATATCCGCAGCACGGTGCTTCTTTAGAGTTTTCAATATTTTTTCTTCCTCCTTCTCTGAAAGGTTAGCACTAATAATAACAGGATATATTTTCTTTTCATTAAGATAAGCATATTTAAGAGTATCAGGCAATGGTTTAAGCTCAAACACGGGATCACCCTTGGGTGGAGGAGGGTCCCCTAAGATTTCAACAGGCAAGTTGTGTTTCAGAATAGGTCCCTGTTTAAAGAACACTTCATCTATTTCCATTCTTTCATTCATAAACATATCATTTTCATGGTCTAGCAAATATTATTCCAAAGGATCACTAGGAGGTACAGCGCGCGCAAGGCCGATGCTCGGAGGAGCTTCGACGGAGGCGAGGCCAATGCTCCCCGCGCTAGGGTTTGCGGCGGCGGCGGTGGAGGGGTCGCGGCTGTAGAATGGGGTCGGCGAGGTGCCGGCGCGTGCGTCCATCAGGTCAAGTTCGCCGGCGCCGGCGCGCGCGGGACGAAGGTGGCGGGGAGGAGAGAGTGCGTCGCGAGCGCTCGTGTGTGCCGCGCGCGGAAGCGGGCGCCCCAAATACACAACGCGAGTTGGCGATTTGGACCACGCGCCCAACTCCATATGCCGCGCTCGCGGTTATTGCGCGCCCGCTAGAGCCACTCTAACGGTTACGCGCACGCTAAAATGGCCAAATTTGCGACGCGGCGTTTGTTTAGTGCGGCTGTTGGAGATGCTCTTACACTTAAACCATACATTTTTTGGAGCATCGCATCGTTTTCGTGTAACTAAATGTGTTTACACTATTCAATTATAATGCTTACAGTCTTATCTTATATCATTTCCCTTAAATTTTTTGAGCAAGCGTTATCATGCCCACCTTTGAACCACATAAGGGAAATGACTCAATGGTGTACCGCTAAGATCCCTATGTCATCTCAGTGTTTGCTAACGATGATATGATGAATGACAACTACAAAAGCGTGTTTAAGTAGAAAAGAGAGAACTTCACAACTATATTGGACCTTGAAAGCTCTGACACTTGCGCTGCAATGTACAATTCCTCATGTTATGCTCCAATCCTAATAATCCCATTATGATGCGATCAACATTATAAGAGCAAGGAGGCGACGGATCAAAGCATCCATGTTTGCCTATTGGCATGAGATAAGTTGCCATCTTCTCGGAGAGTGTTTGCTCTAAAAAACAAACACTCAGTGATCACTAGTTAGCTAAGGAAGCTACCCCAATAGCTTCTGCATGGTGTAACACCGCGCTTGTCAGGCAGAGGTTTGGTTTCCTCGAAAGATTTAAGTGGGAATATTTGATAACTCGAAAATGCGTTAACTCACTCGGGACCATGGATGTACTTCCTGGATCATCGTATGGTTCCTCATGTAAGCTCTTACGCAACCGCGCGCCAATCGCTTTGTAGGACTCATCTCAGATCATTTCATTCACCACGAAGCAAATCGGACAACAACGGTTCGGCACAACAAGCAAGCAGTACGATCTATAGTTGAGAAACTCGAAAAATGTGTTAACTCACTCGGGACCATGTATGTACTTCCTGGACCATTGTATAGTTCTCATGTAACTTGCTCTTACACAATCGCCCCAATTGCTTTGTATGACTCATCTCAGATCATTCCATTCACCAAGAAGCAAATCGGACAACAACGGTTCGGCACAGCAAGCAGTACGATGATACGATCTATAATAGTTCAAGAACTTGACACAGCATCATCCACTGCGATCCAGAAATCCCACCGTCGATAATGCTTTCACCAGCAACGTTGAATCATATTCATGCAAGAATCTCCCTCTGGAGGCCATGTGAAGCACCTTGGCGTCTTCCCTGCAAACTCCATCCACCCCTTCCCCAAAACTCGCTGGCGAACACATGCATCACATTTCATGAAAAAGGAGGAAAAGATGAAAGGAGAGAGAGCAATGGAGGCCCCGGCCCGTCCTCCTCGGGCCCGTGCGGCGCATCGGAATCAATCGTCTTTTCCGGGAATTCAGACGGCCGCGGTGCTCTCCTGCCTCTGCCACCGCCGCTCCGCTCGGGGCAGACGAACTGCGCGGTGTAAAGAGGGGTACGTGCTCCGACCCAGGCGCGAATAAAGAAAGGGAGAGGGGGGCCGAGCAGAGCAGAGCGCAGCAGGGGGAGGACGGACATGGCGACGGAGGCGCGAATAAAGAAAGGCCGGGCTGGCGTCGGGGTCAAAGAGCGGCACGCAGCTGCGGGTGGAACCCGAGGCGCGACACATGGAGGAGAGTCACCACGCCCGCATGGCGCCGCGCGCCGAATCGTCACCTCCCCGAGGCCGAGGACCGGCCATCAGCCCACCCACCCGCAACGCCTCCGCCTCCGCCGGCCGAGGGCGACGCGACGCGGACGGGCGGGCGGCCGGCCGGCCAAGCCATGCGCTCGTAGACGACGAGGTCACGGAGGTAGCAGCGGCCTGCCAGTCAATGCTGCGTCCTTGCACCTGCCTCACCGTCACCGCCCCGAAGATGCCGAGCGCGGGATGGCGCCCGCGACTCTTTGTCCTGTCCACGATGCGTGCGCCCCGTCGCCCAACCGACGAGCTCTCCCCTTCCATATTTTTCTTGCTTGCTTCCATATTCTCCTTGAGGCCATCATACCACGTGCCCCCCGGCGTGACAAAGGAGCCCAGCTAGCGGTTCCCAGCCGGGCACGAAAAACAGCTATCACCTCTTCCCATATGAACTGGTTTTCGTGGATGGACCGATCGATCGGCCTTTGCCACAACCTTGTCGTACTCGTACTAGAACAAGAAGAGGAAGGGTTGCGTCCACAAGGAAAGCAAAGAGATCCGCTCGAGGTTGGAACCGATGCTGCATCAGCAAAGGAGACAACGAGTAGCGTCCAAACCGCCCCCGTCGCATCAAGCCGAGCACACACGAGACTGCTAGTACTCGTTAATCGCTAGCATACTCTACTGCCACTAGCATAGCATCGACCTTCACAGTCCAAGCCTGGGCCGAAAGCGTTTATGTCGTGAGCTCAGAAACGCCGCCGCATGCACAGCCCAGCCCCGAGTGCCTTCACGTTTCCGTTCATCTTCGACCCGATGCAATAAACGCAACGCACGCCCCGTCCAGCACTCCACCCATTCCCCGTACTCTACCCCCCTCCTACTCGAAGTATAACGCGTACGGTACTGGTATTATGGACTCCCGGTAACGCCACCGTTTGACCACCGAAGCAAGTAAAAATTTACCGGAAAGCGCACGCAATGAAGAAAGGAGCCCTACGTATGGCCATGGAAACTGCCTGGCGTCGTGAATGAATGAATGAGCGAGCAATAATGCCCGTTTTTTTCGCAGCAAAGCTGGCTTTTTTGCATTCATTTTCCTCCAAAGATAAAGCCCGGCCAAGCCAGCATTGATGCCTCTACGCCTGCGCCCTGCTGCTCGCACGCCACTCCACCAGTGGCATGGCACGCACTGGCAGGGCAGTAGATAGAAAGTTTAAAAAGCGGGACGGATAAAACCAGGACCCGCCTGACATCCGGGCCCCGCACGCCTCACGCAGCGAGGCACGGTACGGACCGGGGAGCGCCGCGCTGCCGTGTATAAAACCAGGCGCCTCCCGCTATCCCTTTTCCCAAACATCAATCTCCTCTCCACTCCACCACCGCTTCTCCTTCTCCCCCTCCCGCCGGAGACCTGCCCGCCACCACGGCTCGTGCCGCCAGAGATAAGATGAGGACGAGGAGCGGCTCTCTCTATACCTGCGGAGGAACCGGCGAGCCGGCGGCTCCGGTGGCCGGGCAGAAGAGGAAGAGGTCTCCCGCCGCCGCCGGCGAGGCATCCGGCGTGCGCCGGAAGAGGCAGGCTACCGGGCCGGACTACTTGGACGGCATCCCTGACGACCTCGTGCTGTCCATCTTCTCCAAACTCGCCGCATCTGCGAACTCCCCCTCCGACCTGCTGTCCGTCCACCTAACGTACGCCCGCGCCCCGCCCCGCCCTTCGTGTTTGGTTCAACTGCTTCTTGCAAAGGAACTCCTGCTGCTTTGTCTGTATGGTTGCCTGAACGTGTTTGTGCCTTTGACGTTTCAGGTGCAAGAGGCTCAACGGCCTGGGGCAGCAGGACATGGTGTTCGCCAAGGCCTCGCCGGCGTCGCTCGCCGTCAAGGCGGCGGCCTGGTCCGAGCTCGTGCAGCGGTTTCTCAAGCGCTGCGCCGACGCCGGCAATCTTGAGGCTTGCTACATTCTCGGCATGGTACGTGTTGATGACCTAATCTAGTTGACTTGATCGTTCGGTTTGACATCCGTGCATGCATGGCCGGAGTTTCAGGGGTGGAGTGCTGACGAGTTCCTTACGTTTTTGCAGATCCGGTTCTACTGCCTTGGCAGCCGCAGCGGCGGCGCGGCTCTGCTCGCGAAGGCGGCCGTCGGCGGGCACCCGGCGGCGCTGTACTCGCTGGCCGTCATCCAGTTCAACGGGAGCGGGGGCGCCAAGTCGGACCGCGACCTGCGCGCCGGGGCGGCGCTCTGCGCGCGCTCCGCCGCGCTGGGCCACGTCGACGCGCTCCGGGAGCTCGGGCACTGCCTCCAGGACGGCTACGGCGTGCGCCGCGACCCGGCCGAGGGCCGCCGCCTCCTCGTCGCCGCCAACGCCCGCGAGCTCTCCCTCGCGCTCGCCGCCGCGGCGGCAAGCGCAACCTACCCCTTCGCCTCCCTCCCCATCGGCGCCGTTGCAGGCGGCGCCGGCGGCGTCACCAGCAGCCCCCTCCTCTCCGACTTCGGGTGGAGCCTGCCGGAGGCAGAGCCGCACACGGCGAACCAGTTCATGTCAGACTGGTGGGCGTCGCGCGGCGTGCAGGCGTGCGCCAAGAAGACCGACGCGGCGGCCACCGGCGGAGACGGCGAGGGCGAGCTGCGGCTGTGCTCCCACATGCGGTGCGGGCGCAAGGAGACGCGGCGGCACGAGTTCCGGCGCTGCTCCGTGTGCGGCGCGGCCAACTACTGCTCCCGCGCGTGCCAGGCCCTGGACTGGAAGCGCGCCCACAAGGCCCAGTGCGTGCCCATGGACCGCTGGCTCGTGGGCGGCGCCGCCGCCGCGCCGCAGCAGTGACCCGCCCCAACGGGCAACCACCGCTGCAACTAGCAGCACCGGAGAGTCCACCGCCCGACCGGTGGACCGGGCGTAGCGGAGCGAACGAACGATGATGAATGAGGAAGCGTTTTTCTGGCGTTTTGCTTTCTTTTTTGCGGCCGTTTGGGTGTCGTCTTGTCAGATGTACGTACTCTACTCTACTCGGGAAGAAGAGCAGACGAGAGATTCTACCGCGGCCACCCACCAGAACTCTAGCCTTTGTTTTCCTAATCTTTCTCTCTCTTTTCCGTACTCAATTAGTTAGCCCCTCTTAAATCAATCAAATTACTCCCCTGGTAAGATGGTAAAAAAAACCTGGATCCCGCTTCGAACTCATTTTCTAGAGCTCGAGCGCGGAAGCTGCTTCTGTCGCTTTGTGTTTTGGAGTTTTGGATGGATGCTGTGGGGGGTGGAGTACAAGAGCAGTGCTCCATGTACACTACGTACAGCACGGGCTCCTACGCTACGTGCCTCTCGTCCGTAGCTTATCGGATGATGAGTAGGGGGAATCGGTGGCCGCGCCGTGCAGCGCTGCTGCGGCCTGCGGCATAGTGTAGGCTTTGGTCTTGCTCTCGAGGCACGGGACAAGTTGGAGCCTTCCCTCTGGCCGCTGGTGCGCTGGGCTTCGGGAGGTGGAATCCATGTAGGCCACCATAGACATAGCCAAAGTGACACCACCCGGCCGGCTTTTGTTCTCATTTCCTTTACTTTTCTGTTACCTAGGGAGGACATGGATGGAAACAACACACAAGATGATGACGATGCTACGTACTACCACGACTAGCCAAGCCCGCTCCGTTCTTATATGGCTTGAGCGGACGCTGCTTCGGTGCCTAAGGGCATCTCCAGCTGCGCTTCCACGAAGGCCTCCCAGGCGAGTTTTCACGCCGACGTTAAAAAAACGGCTCAGTCGGCCCCCAGGAGCCTGATTTTCGCCGGCCTGGGCCGAAAACAGCGCCGGTGGATTCAGGCCGAACCCAGCGCGCTGGGGACGCCGGGGCGAACTGTTTTAGCGTGAAACAGCCGCGGGCCCGCCGTGTCAGCGACACAGCGCCTCGTCTTTCCCCAACGGACTCGGTTTTTGTGGGGAATCAATGGGAAGGCTGCCGCCAGTCAGCCTTGCCATTGATTTCTCATGGGCGGTGCGTCACGGGACGATGCGTCGATGCCTCCCTTCCCTCGCACGCGTACACACGGGTGCGGCGCGGCTATATAGCCGGTGGCCTGCATTCGCCTGTGCCCACACCAGCCCCGCCCCTCGCCGCCGCCCAGCTCCTCCCTCTCCTTACCTCTCTCGAGCGCCGCCGCCCAGCCCCTCCCTCTATCTCTCTACCTCTCCCGAGCCCGTCGCCATGGCGGAACGCTACCCTGGAGACGAGGCGGCGGCCAACGGCTTCGGCCGTCGTTCGCTCAGCGAACAGGAGTCCTGGCTCCTGTTCCAGGCGAACATCCCGGCGCCGCCGGACATGCGCGCCGGGCCGACGGGGTGGAGGCTCAACGCCGGGGGAGTGCCCATTTCCCCGTTGCCCGACGCCGTGGCGAAGCCGAAGTACTTCGCCGAGGAAGTCGAGGTCATGCGCGCCTCCCTCACCGACGCCCAACTCTCCCTCCCCCAGTACGCCGCCGACAACCACGCGGCTTGGGCGGCGTATTTCAAGCGCCGCCAGCAGCAACGCTTGGCATCCACCAACGGCGCGCCGGTGGTCGGCGGCCGGCAGAACAGCAAGGGGCGCCACCTGTGGTGGGGCGTCCCCGGCCGCACACTCGAGGGCGTGCTGACGTACCTCGAGGGCGACAACGCCCCGCCATTGGCGTACCCGGCGAGAGCGGCCGCCTCGGCGCAGCACCGACGCGCCGGGCCATGGGCGCCAAAAAGGTTCGGGTCCTCCTCCCGATCTTCATCGCACTCCTCCGGCCCTGCTCGGCGTCAAGGCTGAGCCCGCGGCTGAGATGCCGCTCGGCCGGCGCACTCATAGCGCCGGCATCGTCATCAACGAGGGCGGCCGGCGCGCCTACTCGTCGGCTCCTCCTCCGCGCTTCGTCAAGACAAAGACGGAGCCGGGGCTTGCGCCAGTGAAGACGGAGCCGGGGCTCGCACCGGTGAAGAAGTAGCCGGCCGCGCCGTTGACGACGGAGCTCGACAACGACGACGCGGCCCTGGAATGGGCACGCAGGGACTCCATAGCGATGGAGAAGGAGCGCCTGGAGAAGGCGAAGGAGCGCCAGCGCACCGCCCTGCTTCGCTTCGCGGAGCGTCGACGCGGCCGCGACGAAGGCGGAGTCGCCGTCATCTGCGACAGCGACGATGCGCCACCACCAGTCCGCCATGGCGACGCCGGGCAGGAGTCCAGCAGGGGCGCCCGCGTCAAGGAGGAGAAGGCCGACGACGACGATGGCGGCGACGGCGGCGACTTCAGCCAGTTTTTCCTTTAAATTTGTTTATGTATATGTGCTATGTAATGAAAATCCGCGAACTTCGCCGAAATGTGCCGAAATTTATCGTGATTGGCCGAAATTTATCGCGTTCGACCGAATTTTATTGTGTTTAAGCCGAACTTCTTTTATTTTAAAACGTGCCTGGAGGCGGCCTTGGAGCCGGCGGCTAAGGACCAACTTACCTCCAGGCCCAATTTTTGCGCCAGCTCAGCCCCAGGCGGCGATTTTATCGCCGCCCCCCTGAGGGGCCAACGGTTGGAGACGCCCTAAGGCACCTGCCTTTGAGCCTATGACAGGTGGGCACCTGTCATAGACCCAAAGATAGGTGCCTTTAAGGCAGCGAAGCTCAATCCGGCTCGAGCACGCAACGGCGTACATCTGTACCTGCACACGAGTAAATTCGCAGAGTGGAGTGCAGTTCGATTTCTTTGGTTTTTGTATTCAGGACGGTATGAATCATTGAACGGAGGAGTGCCGAACCTGTTGACCCAGCGCGGCCAGCGCAACGGGACACCGTTAGGCTTTGGCATGTTGCACAGGTGTGTGTGTCTGCGCTGGGAGGGCCATGCGGCAAGGCCCGCATGGTACACGACTAGACGCTCTCCCGGCTGGGTGCGTGCGTTCGAATGTGCGTGGCGCGGGTGTTTCCACGACGTAGACGTCTGCGGTCGCCGGCGAGGCACCACCCAGACCTCCAACGTGGACATGCGAGTATCAGGGGAAATACCGGGCGGCTCGCATCATTGTGTCTAGCTGATGCCAACGGCGAAAGCACGGGCTGAACTGACGGCCGTTGTCCAAACTAGACCGGGGGTGGTATCTACTTTGCTCAATTGCTCCTGCCTTTTTCTATGGGATTGATTGATGCTGCTACAGTTATATTACTGACATCTGATATTTTCCTTCTGTTTTGTATAGGAGTATATTATTTCTTTCTTTAGACTACAGGGGGTAACGTGTATAGAGTAGTAATAGTTTTTCAGGGACAACTGTTCGAAATTTAAGAAGGCCGATATAATAGGCAAGAAATAACAGGTGGGGCAGTAAATAACCAGCCAGGCCCGGTCAGAAAATTTGGTGGCGCCCATCGGTGCAGGCGGCGACCCAATCAAGTGCATGCAAATATAGACGCCCCGTCATCCCCTTCAATGTATTCCTACGTTTACAACGGCTGTCCCACGTTGGATACCAGACCAGAGAAGATGGTGCCATGACACCGGCTTCGTGGGCGCACAGCGACTAGGCACGTACGTACTCCTCCACCACGTTACCTACGCCTCAGAAAATTCAGCCCCTCGTGATGCCTGCACGTTTGACCCTGCAAATAATGCCAGAATTTCTATATTTTTCTAAAACGAGGAAAAAAGCTGGGATTTGCATCTGCAGAAATAAAATCCGAAGAATTCCAAACGATCGTGCGCGCGAATTGGGACATATCGGCGCAACATGGGGCCAGGAATCGGATATTTATCCACATATATTTCTTTCGGCGAGGAATGGAGTGCTCATTGACCCTTATTGTTTTGCCCCTTGCATGCGCGCCGCGACTTTAATCAGGGGAAAATAATGGTTAACAAACAAAACGTCGTCCGCACCGTGCGTCCCGTCACTCGATCGGATCTTCGAGTTCATCTTGGCTGGCTCGGCCGATTTTCAAAGGGTTTGATCGAGGAGGGCGAGCTAGGGAAGCAAGCGAGCATTAGTTGGTGCTTTGTTTACTCCACACTAATTCATCTGCACGAATGATTCCCTGGAGCAGGAGTAATTTACTTTGCGTGGCAGGTCATGCGTGCATGGTGCAAGCAAGCAAGCAAGCAAGGGAAGCTCATTGTGCTGCTCCGTGGTTTTAGTCGTCGCCGGTGATGTCGTTGTTTCTTGTTTATTTTTCACTGTCGTGATTCGGCATGGGGTCAAGAGCCCCGAAGGGACCAATTAATTATCGCTTAACACGATGCTTCGACATAATTGCTTGCCTTGATGGTCAATGACTGTCGAGGGACAGCATCTCTTGAGTGGTGTGCGCCGGCTGCCATCTTGTCTTGCAGTAATTAGCGATCATGGTAGGCGGCTCGTGTTTAGCCTTTTTTGTTTTAGCAGTGTCTTTTAGGGCTATTCGCGGCCGAGGATCACTATCATGTAGTATATAATATTTGTGATGATACTATCTTCAGAGTTTATAAGATTATAGATTAGTCTCTAGACGGCCTCATCTTTTATACACATATCATAGAATTTATTATGATATTGTATCTGATACTCAAAACTCTCTTTTTTCTTTTAATTACGAATGGCACGTCTTACCACCGACCGGGAGGTCCAGGGGAATTTTGCTAGGTATCAACTCTACATACTTACAACTATTGTCCACGTCAAAGGGAAGTATCATATCAAATTCCACCTTCGAAATAAATCCGACAACTTCATTTGAAGTCTGGTAGCTGTATATGGCGCCGCTCAAGAGGAATTTAAATCTGCATTTCTAAAAGAATTAGTCAACACCTGTCGAGACAATCC